TTGTTGTTGTCATCATTAACCTCAACAATGGTGACTTTGTGGCTATGAGAACTTGAAGGAGATGTGGTATTTGGGAGATTCAGAGGTATTGTTACAGAAACTACAGAAGGAGCATTGGCAGCACAGCTTGCATTGTGAGCCTGCCTGTGTGAAGCTAATTCTTGATCAGCAGCATTGTCTGCATAAATTATCTTCGCTGATGGCACAGGAACATGTTTAGGGCATGCTGTACTAGTAGGTGGCCCCTCGCCATCGGAATAGACGCACAGCACCATATGCGGATGACCTGTTGAAAATTCAAAAACTCAAATTAGTTTATCCCAGACAGAGGCACATAAACTATTGCAGTTTCATGGCCATTGCCAACTGAAAAAAATATACCTGAAAGCTGTGGCCTGAAGGTCCAGCTCAGGCCTGGACACAACTTGAGCCAGGCCCTAAGCCTTCATAAGCCATCTACAAAGCCTGGCTAGGCCTAGCCTAAGTGGGCCCAGCTAGGCCTGGCTCATGGCCTGAAGCTGGGCCTTGAACATTACTACTGTATAATTTTGACCTTAGGTTCATGGGAATTTCTGCATTGCATTACCCAATGGTTTTGTGACAGGTTCATCTCTTGAGGACAGCTGTGACAAACTTACAATAAGTTCACAAGGTTCATATGTAGTTAGTGTTGTTGGCAGATTACTGCCGTTCTGCCATTCGCCGTGGCAAAACTTGGCAAAACCTGGCAGTTGGCAGAAGGTCTGGGGCAGAACTTGGCAGAAGTTGAAAAGGTACCGGAGCACACGTCACTGAGATGAATCTATCATGATTCAAATATTCAAATATTCATATATGATAAATTGTATAGTTGTCAATGCAAATCTTAATTGTATCTACACTCAGTCAGAAAAATGCTGCAATCTTTCAGTTGCAACCTTCGACACAATTTCCAAAATCCGTGCAAACCTTTGCTTTCACAGCCATCAGAAGACACTCGCTAGTGGGAAGTCTGTCCATCGCCGTCACGCACATGCACACTCCAGACGAGCCTTGTATCAACCTCAATATGGCACATAACCTCAGAAACACATTTGCATTCGAGCCACCACCTACGATCCAAAGTGACTTGAGATATTTGAAGGTAATATGTACAACTTCAATGAGCTGGAGCGAGTTGAGGCTGGTATGGTGCCAAAGTTCATTGATGAGGAGCTCTCAGTGATTGATCATGGTGTGAGAGGCGAAGAGAGTGGTTGGGATGTTGCATTGTTAATGTCAACGAATGGTTTTTTGTAGTTAATGAATAATTTACCTTATGCCTGGTTTTGCCATGGCACAACCCTAGTTCTGCCGGTTCTGCCGGCAGAACTGCCTGTGAATAGTTCTGCCCACAGCACTATATGTAGTAGGATAATATATATACTTTCTACACAAATATAGTTCAAAAATGACAATGAGGAGGGAAAAAAAGTGGTTAAGTGAATGTTTTCATAAAAAAACATATCTAAAAACAAACATGTCATATGTTATGTCACAAAATTAGGTTCATTGACCAAAAACAGCTGTGACTGTCACAAAAAATAGGTTCAGTTGTGACAAACCTAAGGTTGAAATTATACAGTATTGTGAGGTAAGGATAATCTAGGTATAGGGCCCTAATAGGGGCTAAAAAGTGCATACTACAAGGGACTACTTTGAAGGTAAACCTAATAAGAGAGGTATACAGTACAAGGGAAGTGTATAAGTAATACTTAGAAGTAGTCAACTTATACTGTCTAGACTCTCACTCGGAGGAGGGAGGAATAGGAAAGATAGTAAATATGTAAGAACATGTAATAAGGCTGTAATACATTTTATAAGCCTCAAGGTAAGGAAATTTACATACCAATGGAGTTTGGATGGACTATGAATAGATGAAGGACCTTCCTAATGCATTTATGAGGTATTCAAAGTGCGGGAATGTATACGCAATGCGGCCAATACACAGGAAAGTGTGAACAAGCGGACGCACAAAGTGTGGGAAAAGCAGGTTCAGTGTTGGACAAGATTATTTGCTAGACAAAGAATAGATGAGGATAGGAAAATTCATAGTGCTCTATACTCCTTGACATATATATGAAAATGACCTACATATTTGCTGCCCAGAGAGGTTCTAAGTGTCACACCATTAGTCTTAATTAATATGTATAGCAAGTGTGCCTCATATGATATTACATTTTGGGTAGCTTATCTTACTACTATTTTCATCTATTTAATTCTGGACATTCACACTGTAGGATATAAGCTGGCTCACTAACTACCTTACACTTCACTTCACTTCCCTTGCTATGAGTTATAGTTAGTAGAGTCACTTTCAGATAGTTGTACTTTACGCAATTAATCTTTGTCATTCAGAACAATTGGTTTGGCTTAACCACTCCTATTTTACATCTTGCTGTCTCTAAGTCTTTTCAATAGGCTTCACATAGTTGTACTTTGATACTCTTACTAGTCTTATATTTTGACATACTTTAACATACCTGCTGTACTAACTCTCAGAAACCTTACTGTTTTGTTGCAAGCTCTTTAGAACCTCTGTGCATTATCGGACCTTTATTTCTTAACTTCAGATCACCTTTGCTTATATTGGACAAGTACTTTGGTACTTCAGATACATTCTCAGAACTTTGGACACACCTTAGGTGACTTCTTCTTTGCTCATTCTTGATCTTAACAGACCTTCCTTACATTTATATTTTAAGAGGTAGTTCTATAGGCAGTCTCTTTGGGACTGGGCTAGATAGGGCAGCTGAGAAGAGATGATCTGGTACATAATGCAATGATATGTGTCATATAATACCACCTATTATAAGGAAATGCCAGGTATATGGAAGGAGGAGTAGTGCCTAGACCCTATCTTCATAAACCTAGAAGGATGCAATCTGAGTATTATCTAAGGGTGGATCAATGAGATCAAGATAGGTAGAGCAAGGGGTATGGAGCTTATGACAAAGGTTTGTGAGACTATTGGAGTCAACAAAGATTTGCCAGTCTATTCCCTAGGAGAGACAGTGGACAGTGAAAAACCCTCAGGGTGCATTAGGATACTGAAGCTTCCACAGATATAATCTAATTTGCATTCTCTTCAAAACTATGGATTTACTATGAGAAATAAGATGAAAAAAATAAGGCAGGGATTCAGATATTAAGTGGAGAAATCAATTTTGCAATAGGGGGTTTTCCAATGACACTGATAGGAGGGCATTATTAGGCATGACAAGGAATAGTGTTTAATTAATGATCCAATAAGTTGTTGCAGTGTCCATAGTGGGCTTAGGGCATATTTGGTTTAAGCTTGCATCAGGCAATAGTTGTGAAGGGCCAGAAGATGGACCAGTGACTGATTGTACAGTATCTGAAGCTTGAGTCAAAGGACCTATAGCACTATAGCTAGACATGAAAGCTAGAGATGTTGAACATTATTTCTATTATGAAACTCTTCGAAACTTACAATGTTGGTTGGTCAAACAATTATACTCTAATGATAAGCCATGATTAGGAGAGCGTGCTGTGACGAAAGAAATTAGTTGATGGTGGTGATACATTCAAATGGAGACTTACAATGAGACTGTTTTGGAGGGCTGTAACTTCAATGACATATGAACTGCTGGTATCCTGCTTGAATCCTAAATGGTGATAGTGAGTGATAATGACAAGTTGAATAATTAGAGGAATGTGAGAGACCACAATGAGGAGACATTACACAGTCCTGCTGAGACAAGCAACAGTCCCTATAGGACTGCGGTCTAGGAGAAATCAGTTGACAAGAAGGATGATCTGTGTAGGAGGATGATAGATAGTGAGTAGGTGATATGAAATTTCAATGTGATGACTTAGTGCAGCAAAATTTGAAACTGTAAAGGCTAGTATCAATGGTCTTTCCTTTGGAGGGAGGGATAGGGTTGGGATTGCGGGAAATTTCATTTAGTTTGATCTCCTTGGAATGTAATACTACACCTATGCAGTGTAGAGACTAACATCTCTGTAGTCTTGTAGAGGTCTAATTCTCCAATACTCTAATCACCTTCCAAACACAGTACAACCCATATCTCATTTTCATACACCCAGTACTTCATTAGCCACTTGCACACACATTCTCAGCTCTGTCACTTGTCCTCCATCCATCCATTCCATGCCCATTTGGTTCAGGTCACTATGCTCTAACAACCTGCATGCATGGTGAGTGGATGTGAGGCATACACCATCACACCTTATCACCTTATCACTTTTCCATACCCTACCTATTGTTGTGTGCCTTGCTAGGCTTGACTTAGTGCCTGGTTCAGTATTTCTCTCTATTCATATACATAAAGGAACCTTCCCAGTAGCAATCCTCTTGGGGCTGACATTAGCTTAAGCACAGAGAACCATCTGAGTACATCTTACACTATCTATTTTTTATCACTTCATATTCCTTACTTACAGTAATACAGATCAACATTCATCATATTATCACTGTCATCCACTAATCCTTGGGTGTTGTTAGTTATAATAATATTGCACATCTCATTGGACTATTCTTCTCCTTCTCGAGCTGTAATTGCTCCATCCTTTCCATTTCCTCCACTGTCTGCTGATAATTTTGCCACTCAGCTTGTCTCATTGCCTGTTTTTATGAGAAATCCATATTTTATGTCTCTGCTTGGATAGGTACATCTGAGATTATTGGTCACTCTGACAAGATTGGTGAAGATCAGTTCTAGTCTCCTGCAGTCAAAGCAAACTATCTGACTCTCTCAGAGGTGAGATTGTGGATACCAAGTATTGATTCAAATATGTGGTGCTTGATGGTGTTGATGGCAAAAAGCCCATAGGAAGACTAATCAACCTAGCAACTATGAGACAAAGTAGCTCCTAGATTCTTCAATTCCCTATCAAAACATCTGGAGAATCACTTTTTCACTTAGATGAGAGACAAGCAGACGCAGAAGTTGGACATGCAGGTAGGGAAATGCAGAGTAGGAGTGGCGTGGATCAACATGTTCGCACTACATGAACAATTGAAGTTCAGCATGTATAATGACAGGCCTGAAAACGCAGCTGAAATGAACAAATTGATTGTGTCATTTTGCAATGTAGGGATCATATCTATGAAGGAGATAGCAGCGATTCCATTGATCGTCGATATCAAGTGCATCAAGAATGTGAACTCGCTCACAAAGGATTTCTTGGACCCAGGGGAGGTAACTGAGCTCGAGATGCTCGACGACGAATCTATCATTGTCGCATCAGGACAACACAGACTCATTGCATTGGTAAAATATCAACAGAGTGTCGAGGATGAGTTGGCCTCATTGACGAAGAAACATGACAAAATAAGAGACATGGGCACACTCACTGAAGATCACCTTGAAATGTACAACACATTACAGGACATCATGGGCAACCACATGGAACTATTGGAAACCATGGGAAAGTAGGGCATAATCGTATATGATCAAGGTGGGTCTCGAATTCTGTGCTTGCCACAGTAGCCAGCACATCTATAAACAGACACAACATATGACTGTCTGTGCAGGCCACCATTGCAGATGTGGAAGACTGATGTTTTGTATCTGCAGACAAATTATTAGCCAAAGGCAACAATTTAGCAATACATTTGAGTCACAACAATACGTTGCATGATTATGGAGAGACCGAGGAAGAGGTGCTCATGACAGTGTTGAACACGGTGGTGGTGGCATACAATATGGCACCGCCTGAGTCCAGGAATCAAGCAGTTATGAAGGCACTCAAAGAGCAACACAAACTTAAAAAGAATGCACGCCTGCAAAAGGTGTTGCATCACCCATTGTTATGCTTGCTGCTCGCGACTCGCCTGCTGAGGTTGGGGCCACATTTTTGTTGAAGGCATGAATTCTCAGTGACCTGGTTGTCGAATTCAATTGATGTATGTATGGGGGTGAGTGACAGTGCATTGAGAGGAAAATGTGAATGCTCACGTTGAATCCAGCTGTATATCTTTTTAATTGAAATGTGATGCACACGCCTTCAATTGCTTTCATCTCATAAAGTGTTCCCATCCTACAAAACCATCAAACAACTCCTACAAGACTCCGAAAAAGGTGATGTGGAGGCGAAAGCACAACTGAATGTATTATGCAAATCGATCGAGACCTGTGAACAACAGGAAAAAGGCCAGCTCTCGACTTGGGCAGAAGTAATAGGAAAGATCAATGAGCACACAGAGAAATCATTTGTCGGGAAGGAAGAGTGCATTGGGGACATTTCACCTGTGTATGTGATGCTATTAAGCACATATCGAGCAGGTGTGCTATGCACGTTACAAGAATCATGGTTGCTGTGGAAGAAGAAAGATAAAGACATTCAAAGTAATGAAATCTTGAGGTACCTTGACAGCATCGTGGCACACATGGCCCTACACCTGACACTGGAGCAAGGAGCTGAGTGGGTGCTGGAGCCACTACCTGGAGGATGGCTTATGGTATACATGTGGGACTATCTCATTAGGATTCAGCTGGGCATCATGGAGGCAAGCAAAACATCAAGAAGGAGTCACATAAACACTCACTGAATATCAATGACAGATATGCCGTTGGTTCGAGCCACTCCTCGATCATTTTCGTACCTTTGGAGGAAGAATGCATGTCATGGATGACTGTTCCATGGTGATGCTGTTGAACATCAGCAAGGACAACCACATCACACCACCTGAAGCTGATATCGCAGTGAGTCTGAATTTATGCACATGTCATCAAAAAATGAAACCAATCACCTGACACTGAACTCCAGGTAGTAAAAATCATATGGACTTACAGACAATCGTTCATCATGAGGCTAAATAACACCATGTTGAAACATGCACGTCAAAGCCCAGGACAACCTCATGACAAAGATGTGTTTAATGTAGCTGTAACAAACATGCATGAAACAGAGAAGCTCATCTGCCAAGCCCTGTTGAACTTAGTGTCAAAGAGAAAGCAGAAGAACGTAGTAAATCTGAATAACTTAGCTAGTGAAACAAACACCCTCACCAGAACTATGGGCCTACACGTCACTACTTGGAATTGGCCTTCTCCGTCCATCAAAAACCAAGTGTGAGACATAGTCCCTTGCCTTCATGCCATCACTTTGGAGTGAGCCTACCGGTTGAAGTACTGTTCCAAGCTGTTGAAGGGTTCATGGATTAGTGTACTCTGCAGACTCCTAGAGATGAGTCTTGTGGAGTATGTTCAGCCCTTACAGATCATGGAGAAAGATCTCTCACTATGCACCATGAAAGAATAGACTTGGTGGGACGAACTCTCCATCAGCGACACGCAGGCAGACCCTCAATCCATCATTGACCTGGTGTAAGACAACATCATCCAAAAGCAATAACGACTTGAAACACATTTCATTCAAAATTGCCTGCCTAACATCATCATGAAGTTGTTGAATATATAACTTGTAAGAAAGTTCTTTTGTGTAGAAAATCTTCTCTGTAGGCAAGTTATGGCTAGAGTATATTACCATTTGTCGATGGGAGCTATGGAAAATTGTAAATCTTAGACCAAAATGTTGTGTGGTGGGAGAGCCAGAGTTAAAATCTTTTTTGGAACTGTCATGATTACCTAGCAGAGATGCTGGTGAGTGTATGGAGTTGCTGTAGGATTGGGAGCAATTTTTTTGCCTTAATTAATTTACTTCTGGGCAGTTTTGGTGAAGTTTGATACTCTAAGGTGATGCAACTGCTTGAGGAGGGAATACCATGTGGGGCAGGTAGGTGAAGGTGAAAGAATTATAGATGATACCATAAGAACTTCCACATCATTGTGCTTGTCATCATGAGTCATGTCAATAGCAGCTTGTTTGCTGAATCAAATGAGTGTCTGACCTAAACTAACATGTACACTATATAAATACAATAATGGCTGGACACTATATGAAGTGAGTATCCAGCCAAATATAAATGTTGTGATCTCACACAGCCTAGTCTGCTATGCTTGCAAGATAAGTGTGTTTGACCCAAGGGGTTTGCTGTTTGGTAAAGTAAAATAGCTAGTTATATAAAAAGGAAGATAGTCCAAAAGACAAAAACATCAGATATAATACTTTTAGGTTGGTTTAGGCATTGGGTTGCATCAGGTTATGTTGAGGTATGTTGGAAATGTGTCAAAAATGTAGAGAATATTGAGTTACTGTCAGGTGTTTCAGAGTGATAACTGAACAATATTTTGAAATTCAGCTGAGAACTACTAATATTGGATGATCTCCATCCTACTCAGAGATAGAAAGATAAAGTAAAGTAATAGGTAGGAGGTATGCAAAATATATAGTGTCTATATAAAATTTTGGTGGGCTATAGGCGAAAGTAGTAGCAATAATTTTTGGATCCAATGTCCTATGTAATAAGACATAAGGCACTGCAGACATGTAACAATGTGGTCTATAATGTGAGTAATGTAAAAAAAAATAACTATGCACCTAGTGGAGATACATATGACAGGATATAACATAGGGTGGACATTTTTTGATAGGCTAATGCAAAACCTGATGTCTGATGTAATGTCTGATAATCCAATGTCTAATATTTTTCAGATTTGATGCATGCTGCTTGAGCAATGCGTAGCAGTTGACCTGCATCGTCAAATAGCCTGATACAGGCCCAATATGAGTCCAAGCATTACAATACCATTGTAGATCACTATATCCTCAAATAAGTCATTTTTAGGGTCCTCATAGCCTGAGTAGTTGTGATAAAGAACTATGTCTCTAGTTTTAGGTATGAACCTTTCAGATGAGTGGAAATTTTCTTTGAGCTATGCAATTTTAGCATATTTCCTAGTAATCTCTCTTTATGGGTGAAACTGGCCTGGCTGTGCAACCCTGGTCAGAACTAAATATAAATGTTAGATGACAATAAAGATGTTTTAGATTCACTTACTTAGAGGAGATTTTTGGGTCGCATAGTGTGTGGAACATTAGCCTCTGCCCATAGGTTCTCTTCTTAAGACAAGGGTTCTGAAGGTGTTGTTGCCTTTTCTTTCACCCAAGAGTCATGTTTCTGTCCCCACAGCAAGGCTTCTGATGAGGTACCTGCTTCATCTTTTGTATATTCTGAGTTAGAATGAATGAGAAATCAAAAATTTGAGACTTATCTGAAGGTATAAACAAAGCATAAGCTTGCCTCTGGGCTGTCATTCTTTGTATTCTGATAATTCTCCTGGGTTTAGGATTGTTGGAATACATGTAGTCATCGTGGTCATTGGCTGTGGTCTTGCATTCAGAAGATATATCACATAATCAAATACAAGTATTTGAGGTTGATTGATAGATATGTTGGAATCAAACACAGGTGTTTGACATTAATTGAGATAGGGTTTTGGATTCAAATACAAGCATTTGATGTTTATAGACAGAGAATTGTTCTAATGTTGAAATGAAATGCAAGCATTTAATGCTAAATGTAAGGATTTCTAGCCAGATTTCTAGCTAAAGTTCCAAAATGCACCAATTAGTTAAGAGTTCTATGCTGAATGTAAGTATATCTGGTCAGATTACTGGCTGAAGTTCCAAAATGAGTTAAAGAGCAATGCAGGTATGGTTATAAGTTTAAGTGAAAGCAATTGAGATGTGCAATGAATGAACTTAATATAATAGTAAGAACTGTGGATAAAATGAATGCGGAAGAAAAAATGTGATCCTGACTAATTTGATCCACAAATAGTGATGTGTAATGATGAATGAATAGTCAAAAATCACAGATCTGGGCATATCTAAATCTGGCTACAATACATATAATAGAATTATTATCACTATGAAATAAAATCTTCCAAGGTTACCCAAGGAACTGTTTAGCTAATAGAGCATCCAGCATGCAACTATCATTGTAGACAATGTGCACTAAACCATGATAACAACAACATGCTAATGCAACTCAATACAAGGAATAATATTAACCTGCAAATACACTAAATTACTAATAAGGATGTAAGTATCCTTACAGAAGAATAGGAATGCGAGGATGGGAATATGTTTTCAATATAAGAATAAAGTTTGACAAGTGTGCTATCAGTGCCACTGTAGAGTCAAATATGCTAGTGGTCAGCTGCATCACTGGCTTCTCTCTTTTTAGTAGAGGATGACCTTTACTGATTGAAAAATAAAAATATTATCTAGAAATATGACATTGATGTCTACTTTGATTTACAAAGCAGAGATCATTCTCTTGGAGAATATTTGGGTGTCTAAGCCCAGTGCCTGTCCCAAGTTTGCAGCATATATACTACATTTTAACCAGAGTGAATTAATAATGAAAATTTGCCAGAAATTTACCTTGATATTTTTGACATTGGCAGCAAGGCCATCATTGTCACTATATAGTTGAAACACTTTTACTGCAACATATAGAATTATGATTGGATAGCAGTATAAACATTAATTGGAGATTAACCTTGATAGGTTCCTTGTTTGTTCGTAAAATACACTTCTGGATCTTCCCAAAACTGCCACATGTAATAGGATATTCAGCAGTCTTCATAATGTGAGGCATGAGGTTGTCAAGTATCACCTGAATTGATACTATAGCAAGTCACAATCTGATTAATTTAATTACATACATTCTACTTAGGCAAATTAACTTCCATAGAGCAATCCATTGAGTGTTGATTGATATCCATTATAATGTCATTCATCTTGTTACTTGCTTGAGGGTGGCCATCAAACAATGATTATTTGGTAAGAAAAGGATAAAGAACTACTGCTATAGTGTGTTTATTTTATTTTATTCATGCAGTGAGAGATTGTCTGTGTAGTCACAGCAAGTGAGATGAGAATTAGACTTTTATATGACACTTACACAATCAAACAAGAGTGATTAGCAAATCCAGGTTAGGTTTAAGAGTGATTCTACATGTATTTTTCACACTGATTCTAATTTGTGTGTCTATTTCTTTTCAAAAAATGTAGGTACCATATGGAAAAAATCTTGTTCACAAGCCCAATTTCAACTGCTGCTCTGTATACCAGCTGAAATTGTTCAAATAGGAAGCCATCTAACAATTTTCTCTCACTTCGAATATTCAAAAATTTAGTTAGTTGGTTTATTTGTGACAAGTGAGATGCCTGAATGTCACGAGTTCCAAATACAAACCATTATACTTTCCTAAATTCGAAGTCTTTTAAGCGCACAAGTATAGCGCCTGTACCTAAAGATAAACCTAAAGATGTATTTATAGTTGAGGAAGCACCTACGGCGTCTATTGTAGAATTACCGAATATCACTGTACCTGAATCACGTGATGATGACAGCATACCACGCGACACTCTTGGAATGTTCCAGAGTCTTACTGCGGCTGCGGCACATGTTATGACATCATAGTTATATATAGAATCATACGATACCTTTAATTATTCTCATTGGCTAGTTAGTTTATACTCAGTTTTGATCTCCGTTTCAATACATGTATATAGGTAGTGTCTTGTAGTCAGTAGTTCTTTAGTTCAAACCTCTTGTATCTCCAAGTGAGCAATCCAAGACATACCTGCTGCCTCATCCTTGTTGTGATCTTTCTTTCTTTGAGTCCTAGTCTCTGCCCTGTGTTAATTCGTTTAAGGGGTTGTGACACTGAACCATGAAGCTGAGAGATTTGTTGGAATAAGATCATTGACAGTATGGCAACATCAATGATAACTCTAATCCTAATTTAGGGGCAGGAAAATGAACATTGCCAGTGAAGTATTGAAGGTTGTAGTAGGTGGAGCTGCTGTCTTGGAGGAGGGGAGTATAAATTACAAAACCTGGGTTTTGATAGGTACATATAATGTAGAATATGATAATAATAAACAGAGTTTTTGTGTCATTGGACACTAATGCTGTAGTTAATATTGAAGAAGATGAAATGGCCTGCCTTGAAATAAGAAAGGTTGCAGGCCTTATTGGATGATCATGATTCAGAGTAAGCAATTATAAATAGTTCAGTAAGATGTGTTGGTTATAAGGACGACATGGTATAGTTATCATTAGAGGAAGATGGTAGTAGATGAGCATTAGGCATGAGATAAGGTTTGATTTAAATCATGAATAGAAGAGTCATAAAGCTGTAGTTATGACAGCAGCATCATGGAAGTTAGTCAAATACAAGTATGTACTTTTATATATATAAACTATGAAAGACATGAGAAGGAAAATAGTGCCATCAAGGAATAAAGATATGGTTCCATTACCAAGGTAATACAATTCTTTACAGATTGCAAAAGTCAACCCTAGATATGTAATAGCACGATGTAGCACTCGAGCTCACGCTGAGCATGTGTTCAGCTATTTTCCGATGCATGTCAAATGTCCATTGCACACGAATCACTTCCCGATGATATCCAACACTCATCTGCTCAATCCGATGCTAACCCGCTCAATCCAATGTTTATCCACTAAACCCGACGCTAATCCAACAGACCCGACGTTTCCTGCGCATCGGACCTGATATTTTATTTTACCATGCACTTGTCCTCCCTATGTCTTGTCCTGTCATATCTATCCCCACTAGGTGCGCAGTTATTCATTTTCATGTTGCTAACATTGTAGAACACATTATTACATGTCCGCAGTACCACATGTCTTTTTACATAGGACATCGGATCCGAAAATCAGTGCTACTACTTTCGCCTATAGCACTCCGAATTTCTACATAGACACTATATTTCGCATACCTCCTACCTATTTACTTTACCTTTCTACCTCCAAGTAATAGGAGGTCATCCAATATTTGTAGTTCTTAGTTGGATTCCGCAATATCATCCCTTCTTTATCTGACACATCTCACAGTAACCTGCCATTCACTATTCCCGACATTTGCTATATTCCCGATGCAAACCCGATGCTAACCCGACGCAAACCCGCACCTGAAACCCATTAACCCGAAACCCGAAAACATCGGACCCGACACTTTGGCATTGGACATTGTAGATATACCTTCAGACTTTGTTTCCCGCACTCGGACTTTTGACCGTTTTATCATTTCACTAACTACAGACCATTCCAAATAGCTAACTCCTCGGGTTGAATGCACTTGTCTTGCAAGTATAGCAGAGTAGGCTGTGCACGACCACAACACATATTATATTGCTGATTACTTACTTCATGTAGTGCTCAGCAATTGTTGTATCTCTACAACGACCAACCAGATTACAAGCTGGATGTCCACAAGGATGTGAGTTAAATGCAAGTGTTCAATAGAAGGATTGCAAGAGTCGACCCTAGACATCCAATAGGATGACTAGCTAGATTATCAGCTAGATTGTCATATACCGGATTCTACACCTCACTTCCGCTATGATATCTTGTCCAAATCCTCATGTATCCGGACATATCCATATGATCCCCACCTGATCCAGTTCACACATCCAATCCATACTCCATCCAATCCTCATCCAATCCTCATCTGATCCTCATCCATGTCCTATCCGAACCCCTGGCTTTCAGACCTTCGGATCTCATTCGTGGTCCTATCCGAAACTATTCCCGCACTGTCTTGTTACTTAAGGGTCTTATATGAAAGTTGTGTATAATGACAACACAATTATACACAGTAAAGACTTCTTGCCAGTCCTTAAGTCCATGGTCTCTGACTTTTCTACTTCATGGGAGGTAATGTGATGAGTTTTTGGGAGGATTTAGTTTGTTGTCCTCTCTTCCTGTAATCTCAAAAAAATATGTTCTGTGTTCTGGAAAATTTGTTAGGTTTGTTTCAGCCTAGTAGGTTGTGTTTCAACCTATGAAAGTCTGTTTCAACTTTGTCATCCTTAGATTTGTGTCTCACTTTCCGTTGAAAGAGAGAGTCTTATGTATACACGTAAAGCTTAGAATGAGAGCTGTTCAGTAGTTATATAGTCAACCCCTGTAAGGTAGTATATAACCTATAGTAAAATAACAATAACAAAAGTTATATAGTCAAACCCCTGTAAGGTAGTATATAACTTAGAGTAGATAATGATATCTTAGATGTTACCTCAAGGCACTTATGTTGGCCTGCACTTTAATTCTTAGTGATCTCACACGGTTTGAGACAAGAGTCAAGTGGAAGGATTGTTATTTCATGGACAAAATGGGGTCCTTTTATACCTTTTGGGAACCCCCTTACTAAGCATGATTTATCAGATGGATTGGTAAGAATGTGGCTTACAATCCAGGTGATGAATCAGCTTATTACTAAGTACATTACAAATACAGTGTAATCTTACAAAGAATTTACAAAGCATGACAAATCATGACAAAACATGATGTGCTGACAAACAAATCTGGTGGCTGAAAGAAGCCAAATAAAAATAAACAATCAGAAATAAATAGAGAGACACAAAACTTTAACAAACAAATCTGTGGCTGAAAGAGGCCAAATAAAAATAAACAATGAGAAATAAACAGAAGGTCACATGTTCATAAAAATACAAGATAAAACAAGTCTGAAAAGTGAGAAATAAAATATGAGACAATGAATCAAAGGAAAAACAGAGAGGTAACTCAGTGATAGAGAGCTAGACAGTCTCTCATACCTTCCTTATCACTTCTCTATATAACTGACATGGTATGAATCACATACCATGCATGACAGCGCACCTGCACATTACCCCATTTAGGATATACCTGTGTTTCCAGCTCTCGGTTATCTCTGCTTCCGTCTTGATAATGTATTCTGTATGAGTTTCATCTCTGAGTTCATTTCCTTATGTTCTGTTTCACTTACTAATACATTTCCACATGCTCGTACATAGCCTTATCTCTCTGCTTACTGATCTGCACAGACTTGCCTCTAGTATATAAACTTCTGTAGAAACTCCTGTACTTCCTTAGTCTGAATATCATATTAGTCCTCGCACTAGATCTCACTCTAAGTCCTCATACTAGTTCTTTCCTTCTGAATACCCACCTTAGGCCTAGGGAGGAATTCCCTAGGCTGGAGCTCCGCTCCTCCACTCCTCTATTCCTCTGAGTTTCTGGAAGTCCTTCCAGATCTTTCCCATGGTCCTCTGGACCTATTCTGCTTTGGACTTTGTCCTTGCAGCCTTTCCTCTGTTTGCTTCTACTCAGGACATGTCTTGGGTAGCCATTATACATATCCGTATCAAGACAAAACCTCCATTGTAATTTCCGGAAGTTCCTCCGGAACTTTCCTGCACTCGTCCAAAAAGTCTTTCCGAAGTTTCCCACACTCCTTCGGAAGTTCTTCAGACTTCCTTAGACTTTCTCTGGACATCATTCTGAAATTAAGGGCACATACTCGGGTAAGGGGTGCAGTGCATGAGCTGAAGCCAAGCCCCTCGGAACCAGTCCTACCCTTTGTGCATGGTCTTGACAGATGTCCACAATGATGTGAGTCAAACATTAATGTTCTGATAGAAATGTCAAAAACATCAAATGCTTGCATTTGATGGAAAGATCCTAAGAGTAGATCCTAGAAGTTCTATAGGATGACTAGCTAAATATCCATAAGAATATCAGTCAAAAACCAATGTTTAGATAGAAATTCCAAGAATATCAAACACAAGTATTTGATAAAGAGATTGCAAGAGTCTATCCTATAAGTCCTATAGGATTACTGGCTAGAGCTCTATGAAGATGAGAAGTCAAACACTAGATTGTGAGAGTCAACCTTAGAGGTACCTAAACAATCAAGGTATGGGTCATGTTGATTTGTTACTTTCTGATGCAAATTAGATCTTAGGTTGCTGGACAGCAGACATAAGTTGTCCAGATCTGAAAGTGCTATATATTATCCACTAAGTTGGTGGTGAAAGACCTAAGAACCAATTTCATGAATCAAGTGATGCATGTAATACTTGAATTGGGAGAAGAGTCACACATTCATAGAATATGGAGTTCAGACTTTTGCTAGAGGTATGTGCCAAAGAATGCAAGCCTGATATTATTCTTGTGTCCTATAATCTACTGCAACCTCCTATTCAGAATTGGCATCAAGCTGTCTCTCTTGTTGAGATGAAGTAGTATAGTGTTGATATTCAGAAATAAGTATGGTTTGATAAAAATGCCAAGCATACAAACACTATCTAGAGATGTCAGGATGCCCATAGCTTCATTATTACTTTGCAGTATATTAATGAACAGTTTACCTTTGCATTTTTTTCAGGTTGAGCAGATAATCATCAGATTGAGTAGATGAGTGTCAGATTTGTGGATGAGTGTCAGATAACATTGGGAAGTAATGTGGGTGTTTGACATGCATTGGAAAATAGCTGAATATGAGCCTAGCGTGAGCTCGAGTGCTACATCATGAAGGCTGCCAGGGACACTGATAACATAATCAACAATATGGAGGTTGTGGGGTAAAATAACGACCTCAACAAATGAGTAAGCCTGATGATCCTATCTGACAAAAACTTAAGTCAATATACCTGAGCTACAAGTGAGTAGTTTGAATTTCTGTCGGAAAAGCCTTCCCCATACCACCTAGGCTCCTGAAACAAGTTAAATGGAGTGCCATCAACACAGAGGAAGCCCCCACACCATTCCCAGCATGTTTTTCCTTCAACCCACTACTGCAACTTTTTCCATTCCTCCTGATCTTTGTGATCCAGTGGATCAAAGTGGATCTTGTTGTCATGGTGCCTTAGGATGGCAATCATAACTTGTTTGAAGCAGTTATACACTGTTCCAATAGACACTCCCATCATTCAGCTAAATCCTCCATCATTGCAGTGTTGCCATAGTGGCCTACCCCATTGAGGAACATTGCAAGTTGGATTGTGACAGGGAGCTGTGAATTATGTGAGTTATTGTGGAAAATTGGATGCAGCTCCAAACAGGTCACAAGATGGTCAAAGACAACAGGTGGAACACAAAGCTTTTGGCAAAAATTTTCAGAAGCATACATCTTCCATTCTAGAAGGAGATGCAGCTGTGGTACATGGGTAAGTTTAGGTCTAGCATTTAGAATATGGCTCTTTTGTGCTTCATTATGCAGAACATGGACTGTGTCAATAAATTCTGTGAATGCTGGCATGGTCATCTTCGGTCTATTGGATGAGAACTGGGATGATATGCCAAGTGAGTGGGAAGTTGTAGCTGTGATGCCTAACATGAGCGAGTTCCAAGATGAATCCAATAATATTGAAGAGATGGACATGCTGATAGACCTGTTTTCATCTAATGAGCCATCTGAGTCACTCTCATCCTCAGAAGGTTCTGCGAGGAGCTCGTCAATCATATACTTCATAAGCTCCACATAATGAGTTATCACATGATTATTGTGAATATTTCTAAGGGCTTGAAGTTGTTGTTTGCAACATTATAAGCAGGGCATAGTGGACTGATCTTATCAGTAATGTGTAAGCAATGTGGAGATATAATATAGAGTTTCAATAATATTGTTGTTGGATTTCTTACCTTTGCTTTGTGCTGGTGTTTCTGAACTTTGAATACCACCAATATTAGTATATAAGATCAAGTTAGTGTAGCAGTAAAGACTTAGGAAGTGTTTGTTTGAATATAATCACATAGTATAATGTTATCTAGCTTTCAAAAACTGGAGTGAAGGGTAATATTTGATGGCAACATAACTAATAACAGTAGACCTACATTATATTACATCACATGATTTATATTAGCTTAGCTAGAAGTTGCTGATGTTAATTAAGTTAGAACCAAAAATGTATCAAATATATCTAGATATGACAAGTGATATACTATCATAACTTTGCTCTCAGTCATGTCAATACTTCCAAATGCACTAATAAATTAAATTATGGGCACCACACCTGCAATACTAATGACAATGGAGGAAGAGAGCTAGACTAGGATTTAGTGCCTAGACCTACTCTTGAATAGCTGAAGTCACAGCTTGCACTAGCATTTGCTGGACTTGGTTGATAAGGAATAATATCAAAAGAATTCTTATCATGACTGCTACTTGGTCAGATATTGATTCAATACTATTAATATTTGCTATTGGTGGTTAATGATTGAGTTGAACCAGCACTTGAAGTAGCAAAGGGCCAAAGCCTAGAAACCTGCTCCACTAATCTCCAAGTCATCTCTAGTAGTACATGGCATCATTAGATAATTAAGGCATGATTTCATGGACAATAGCATAGTGTCCATGATTGATTCCTGTTAAATAATTAGCAGACTCAGCAAGATTGTCGTCAGTTTCAGCAAATGTCCTATTAGAAGAGATAAACTTACACCCCATGGTAATTGTACCCTGTTGGAAATCTCTTACTTTCTAGCAATATTTGAAATACTCTGTATTTCAACTCAATATATAAGCTGAGAATACTGCTGGACTGATCCTCTTGTCATCACTAATACATAAGTATCTGAGATTTCAGGGAGGATGCAGTGAGATATGTTGTCTATGGTTTATAGGCTATGATATATTTATGGTCTGTACTGATGCTCTGCTTCTTTGCCATAGGCAACTCTAGCTAGAATTGTCTCAGCAGTGTATAACTCACCTTCTAACAGCTCAAGAATCCAAGAGGCAACTTCCTCATGTATGAAACCAGGTGTGTAAGTATAATGATCAGTAATGCTAGTAGTCTTATTGTATCTAGTCAGCATAAATATCTTACTATCTTATATGAAGAGATTGTGATTTCTCTTAGTATTGCAAATTTGGTGATCAAGAAATTGTGTGCTATAGGATGATATGTGGGTGGTTATATAGGGCAAGTGGTACAGGGGCTCTCAGATATACAAAGTAAATCTGAAGAAGTCCTTGATCTCCAGAATGTTCCAGGCAATATGACTAATACTGTCACCAAGAAGAGAAGGAGTAAATGACACTCATTATGAAATGGATCCTCAGACATAAATGAGTAGCCTTGTATGGAATTGGTGAGGCCATCCTTGAGATTATCCAGGCACGATTAGTAGCAAAAGGATACTCACAGATACTCAACATGGACTATACTGGCACTTTCTCTCTAGTTGTCTGTTTAGAGACAATATGGTCCATTATGTTGACAGCTGTAATTCTCAATTGGGAAATTCAGCAGATGGATGTAAAGGGTACTGTAAAGAGTTGATTCTTTATAGGCACTACAAAAGTGGTTACCTTAGAACTCAAGGTGTGAGTGTGATATTTGTCCCAAAGAGACTACCTATAGAACTATCTCTTGATATATAATGCAAGGAATGTCTTGTTAAGATTGAAGATAAAAGAAAGGAAAAGTCACCCAAGGTGCATCTGATATTCTGATGATGCATCTGAAGTACCAAAGTACTTATCCAATGTAAATGAAGGTCGTCTGAAGTCAAGAATCAAAGGTCCGAGGTTGTGTGAAGCGTCTGAAGAGCTTTTGATGAACAGATTAATTGTGTGAAGTATAACCATCTGAAAGTGACTACTGACTATGACTTGTAGCAAGGGAAGTGAAGTGAAGTGCAAGTAGCTAGCGAGCCAGATTATATCCTACAGCATAAAAGTCCAGAAACTGCATAGGTGAAAGTAGTAGTGAGATAAACTATCTGAAATGTAATAAGACTCGAGGTGAGCTGCTACAGAGATATGCATGTAATCGCACATGAGACGCACAGCTATATGTATTAATCAAGCTTTCAATGGGTCAACAATGTATGTGCCCCTAAGACATAATCAATAATACACAAACAAAGTGAAAACGCACCAGTGAAGTCAAATGGACACTGACAGGACATGGTATGGAGGATCGCAAGTAGGAATAGGCCTCAGAAACAGACAGATGACCTTCAGATGACTCAGATGAATGCGCGGAGCTTTTGGAAGGTCAAAGGAGTGTCGGGGAATGCAATATGAGTTATTTGTAAAATTGACAAGATATGTGCCCAATGCCAACCTGAGTGCTACAGCACGTACCTAAATGGTACACTGAAGGAAGAAGTGTATATGGAATAGCCAGAGGGGTATAATGATGGCACTGGTTGAGTCTGCTGACTTAAGAAGACCCTATATAGACTGAAACAATCTGGGAGAGAATGGAACATTGAGCTTGATGAACATCTGAATAATGTCAGATTCAAATGTACAATATCAGATCCATGCATATATATTAGATGTACAGCAAACGAGACAGAAATCATTACTGTTTGGGTAGATGATTTACTCCTATTCACAAGTAATATGAGCTTGATGAGCCAACTCAAAGCTCAATTAAAAAGTATCCTGGATGTTACTGACCTAGGAGAACCAAGAAAAATCATAGGAATAGAGATAAAGAGATATCAAGTGAAAAGATCAGTCTGAATCTCACAGACCAAATATATTGAGTCAATCCTACAAAAATATGGTTTTCAGAAGTCAAACACTGTGGGAATGCCATTAGATCCCAAGATTATACTTGAAAAATAGAAAACTGACTAAGAGGGCAACCAGAATAATGGTTATGGATCCTTGATTGGATTTTTAATGTATGTGGCAGTTGCCACAAGACCAGACATAGCATGTGCTATTCAAAGACTAAGCTCATTGTAGCACTCGAGCTTATGCTAGACTCATATTCTGCTATTTTCCAAGGCATGTCAAACATCTGTCACACACAAATCACTTTCCAATGTTATCCGACACTTACCTGCTCAATCCAATGTTTATCCGCTAATCCAACGCTAATCCAATGTAACCTGATGCTAATCCAATGCAACCTGATGCTAACCCAATGGAACCCAATGTTTTGGGTCCTCCCTATGTCATGTCCTGTCGCATCTATCCCCACTAGGTGCGCAGTTACTTGTTTTCATGTCACTAACATTGTAGACCACATTATTACATGTCCACAGTACCACATGTCTTATTACATAGGACATTGGACCCAAAAATTATCACTACTACTTTCGCCTATAGCACTCCAAAATTCTACATAGTCACTATATATTTCGCATACCTCCTACCTATTACTTTACTTTACCTTTCTACATCCGAGTAGGAGGAGGTCATCCGATATTTAGTAGTTCTTAGCTGAATTCTGCAATATCATCCTTTCTTTATCCAAAACACTCCGAAACATCCGACATTTGCTACATTCCCGACACAACCCGAGGTAACCCGACAAAATCCACTAACCTAAAAACACCAGACCCAATGTTTTGACATCGGACTCGTAATTATACCTTCAGACTTTGTTTCCCGCTGACACGCACCAAACTTGTTTTGTGCATGGTCATGGCTACTTTTGAGCTTTGATGTTCTCTGCCTTACTCTATGAGATTACTAAGAATTTTCTATAACACATCATGATTTGATTTGAGTAATTTTCAGACATAACAAACCCATAATACTACATAATAATTTAATTAACACTTATCCAACTTAAAGATAAGTTCCAAACATACCACAACACATTATTCAGCATTCTCTCACAATCTTATGATTGTTTTTTACAATTCTTTACATTCTTTCTGTATGTTCTGAAACATATTTACGGTAGCATTCCAACATTTCAACAGTTCATGTGTGATCAATGGCTTAGTCAGATGAAATGGATTAGTAAGATGAGATGGATTAGTCAGGAAACTGAAGAAAGAAAGTTAATAGATGGGAATATCTGAGAAGTGAACAAGTCATCATGGGACATTTCAACTATGACTCAGTATGAGTCATTATGAGTCATATTTCCTTAATTAGATAGTTACACAGCCACATTTAGAGTAGTATATAAGGGGCCCAGTTTCCCCTCTGAATAATGACAATCTCCCTTTTGAAATAAGCTTCCTTTGAGAGGATAGACATCTCCCTTTTAGAGAGAGAGAGGGAGATTTGAGTATCTTCCTGAATTTCTCACCCTACATTTGTGTGAACATCTGAGTGAATATTAGTTTATTCCCTCCATTCTTTTGTCATCATTTCCCACAACATACTGATCTTCTGAGGCCTACCTTGAGCCAGTCCTTGAATTACACTAGCTGGTACACAGTTATCAGTCGTCTAGTTGTAGTTTCGTCACATTCTCTTTACAAACACAGGATATCTTTTCTGTGGGAAGAATTTAGGTATTTTTAATGATTAGGAGGACGACAAATAAGACTAGCACTTTATTCAACAATATTAAGAGCTTGGCTGCTTTAAGACTACATCAAGAGGGTGTACTCTGTTCTGATTCTGCATCATACTTATCATGAGTGCCTGAGCAGCAGAGAAGTTAGTTTCGAAGCCCCATATTTCGGTTGATTCAATTGTGTTAGAGGCTTGGTTTGATCTCCTCTAATTTTTGAGAATAGGGAGTATTTACAAGATATTACTCTGATTCATTGTGTA